CAAAAAAAAAAAAAAAAAGAATGTTCTGGAAACTGTGGGAATTGTGGGCTTCTGTATCCAAGCAGCCAACCTCCAATCCAGGAAAATTAGTAAGTTGCCAAGGGCCTTGGGCTCATCTAGAATCATTATAATTGCCAACGTCAACATCAAGTCCTACATTTGAGGGTCTCTGATTCCTGGTATTGGGTACATGAAATCATACAAACAGGGAGGACACAGGCCTTCTTTTAACTGATACTCTGAAATATTTCATAGCCAAATCACCCCTTGTTGAGCACCTACTATATACCAAGCAGTATTTCATGTAACTCTCAGAGTAGCCCTGACCAGGAAAGTGGATTCCTCATCCTTAGAGGTAAAGAAACGAAGACCACGTGAGTATAAGTCACGTGCCAGAGTCTCACAGTAATCTAGGGAGAGGGTTGGGATTTGGCCCAAAGGCTTCTAGACTCCAAAGCTGGTGCTCTAGGCTGCTCACTATGAAAATACGTCAGCGAGGGTTGATGTCTGTTGTCCATGATGTGAGTCTAGAAAGGATCCTGTTTTTTTGCAGAATCAGACAGGAAAGTCTGGTTTTCAGCTGGCTGCTGAATCTCTGATGTTGGTTGAAGAAGCAATATCCTATAGTTTTTGCTCCTTTTCCTTTCTCCTGAAATGGAGATTCAACTGCAGGACTTTGTACCCAAAGCCACTTCTGAAGACTGCGAGGTGTTTGGTCACCGCCATGTCAGGCAGGCAGAGCGCACTGAGGCCGATGTATCTTGTTCCCCAGCTACAGAACCAGGAGCTGCTGAGGGCAATGATGAAGAAGGCTGAGCTGGAAATCAGCAGCAAAGTGGTGGAAACCCTGAAGAGGCTGGGGGATCCTGTGCAGCGACAGCGCGTCCTGGTGGAGCAGGAGAGGCAGAAATACCTCATCGAGGAAGAGAAGATCGTCAAGAAGTTATGGTGAGTGCCAGTCGCTTGTTGCATGTTGAGTTGTTTCACCTGAATTACCTTTACCCACAAGGAGGTCCTTCCCACTTGGTGCCCTCACCCTCTATTTATTGAGCACCTCCTATGTACAAGTTAGAGTTCTGCTGGTGCTGGTATCATTGGACCCTTAAACACCTATCCATCGAGGCCCAGGGAATTCAGTAGCCCTCAGGTGACTGAACTTGTGTTTTAAAAGTTGCAGCATTGGCTGGGTGCAGTGGCTCAGCCTATAATCCCAATATTTTGGGAGACGAAGGCGAGAGGATTGCCTGAGTCTGGGGGTTCGAGATCAGCCTTGGGCAACCTGGAGAGACCTCGTCTCTACAATAAATCAAAAAATTAGCCAGGCGTGGTAACACGCGCCTGTAGTTTCAGCTACTTGGAAGGCTGAGGTGGAAGGATCACCTGAGCCCAGCAGGTCAAGGCTGCATTGGCCGTGAGCATGTGCTGCACTCCAGCCTGGGCAACAGAGTGAGACTTCAATTCAAGAAAAATAAAATATAAAAAATAAAAATGTTGCAGCATTGCTGGGCATGGTAGCGCATGCCTGTAATCTCAAGCACTCAGGAGGCTGAGGTGGAAAGATTGCTTGAGCCCAGGCATTCAAGGCCAGCCTGGGCAACATAGTGAGATCCTAATTCTTCAAAAAAAAAAAAAAACAAGAAAGAAAAGGTTGCAACATCATACTCTTTTCTAGTGCTGGGCAACATAAAGTTAAAAGGAACAAGTGGCAAAACCCAATGATAAATGAGATGTGTATATTTCATCTCAATAAATGAAAAACTAGTGGCCAAAATAACGCAGCACTAAAATAATCTTCCAATTATTCCGCTGTAGTCAAAAATTGCAAAAGAAGAATTTAAATCTAAAGTGCATCTGATCCCGAATGAAAGATGCTTCCTTGGATGTTCTGAATGTTATTCAAGGCACTTACTGAAAGCATCTATCAAGTCCCACTATTGAAGTGAGCAGAGGTTTATTACTCCCTTGCCATGAGGCAGGCACATCTTTTATGTTAATGTGAATTTTGTTATGCAATGAAGATTTATCATAGAATTATTTCACCTTTTAGCATAATGAGTAGTAATTGCTAAGGATTTCTCTAGTATTGGGAATTCTCCTATATCTTATAAATTTTAAATCTCCCAAGTTGGGATTGCAAAGGAAAAATCTGCTAATTCTTCTTATGACTGAAATGACCGGAAGTCTTCTTGATGACAGGTGTTGTATTCTGTCATCCATCTCACATGGGAGCTGAAGCTGACATCTCCCTGGAAGCCAGCCCCATGTGTTTGATTAAAATTAGAATGTCCTTCTCAGCAGTCTAGAGAAAAAAAATTTTAGTTATTCTTTTCCTAATAAATTAAATTAGGCTGCTGTTCATCCACATCTCAAAATAGCTCCTAAAACTTTACTTAGTTCAAACATAACAGACAGAGCTAATCACCCACTGAGTTGGTAAGGCTATTATTTGTCTGAAATGTTTTTGTGACAACCCAATTATCTAAAACTAGGCCTCAAGATTCTTCTTTAAAACGACATATTCTTTTAACAATATGTATAGAAATTTTCCAATAAAATTATAGAAGTAAATTGCCTTCCTTTAAAAATCATGTTTCTTGGTTAGTTAAGATAATTCTTGCTTCTGGCCTAGAAAATCTCAGTAACATCCTGAGTCTAGTAGCCCAGCATAGGAATGAGGCAGAAAGTGTAATAGCACGAACACATCCTCAGAGGGCTTTATCTGGTTGAATCCGTGGGACGGCCACAAATGAATAAGACACATGCAGGGCCCTTGGGGAGCTTCAGTCTAGCAAAGCAGAACATGGAAATATGAGGACAGCACAAAACAAGGGGTGTACAGACGCCGTGTGGACCTACACCAAGGAGAGACTGACCCAGGGATCAGGAAGACTTAGCCTGAATTAAGGTCTTCTTCATATGCCCACAGTACCCTGCACATAGTAGTTTCAGAAATGGTTTGTTAAATTTTACTGAGAGGTAGTGCAGGCAGAGCTGCCCCTGCACACAGCGCCCCTGCTGGCCACCACAGAAAATAATTTTCTATTTAAAAAAAATGAAAAAACACATGACCTTGAAGACAGGGAATTTCATCAGTAGAGGCTAGATAGGGACGGTGCTCTAGGCAGGGGACCCCATAAACCAACAAGTCTCTGGATCTGGAAAGTGTAGGACGTTTGGAGCATTGGGGTAGTCCAGTTAGGCAGGAGAGATGGGTGTAAGATGGATGTTAATAATGTCTCATATTTGGAGTGTGCCATTTCCATATGTACCTGGCCGTCCTGAATCATGGACCATACTCAGGCCTTGGATACCTGGGAGATGTGTGTCTGTGCTGTGCTTAGATTGGAAGATTGTGTAACAGAAACCTGGGTTTCTGACTTTTCATGAACACTGCTGGGGGTCCAACTCCAGATTCACAGGTTCTCTGGATGGGCCTTAGGAATCTGCAGTTTACAAAGCATGGTGAAGGTATTCTGAAACAAGTTCGCATTTGAACATTACTGCCCGGCATGATGAAATTGCTGAAGGGTTTTTTTTGATCAAGGAAGTAGCACAGTCAGAGTTATGTTTGAGAGAGGTCCCCCTGGTGACCATGCGTGGGACTGATTGAAGGTGAAAGAGCGCAACCTGGGGGCCACATTGGAAGCTACTGTGACAGTCCAGGCAAAAGACAAAAAAAGGTCAGAGCCAAGCAGTGGAAATAGGAACAGGAAAAGAAGTCATACGCAAAATGCACGAAGGTACAATCGCTAAAACTAAGTCTGAAGATGCTTCTTTAAAACATCTTTTGAAAGATACATCCTTTAAGTAATAGTGTAAAGTTTCCTTGCACCTTCTATAAGGTATAAGGTAGGTGAACTCACTGAATGGATAGGTCTGAGTGGCAGGAGAGTAGGCTATGAAAGCCAGCCAGAAATAGCTAGAAGAGAAAAATCTGAATGTTTCTAGCATAAACAAACATATTTAATGTGATGGATATCATGTGAATGTTTTAAGTGATCACATGTACTCCAAAACGATGTATATCTATTATACATCGATTTAAAAAGAGTTTATAAAAAATAAAAAGACAAAAAAAAAGACAGCTAGAAATTTCAACTTTGACGTCAGGAAGACAATATCTCTCCCTCCCTTCCCCTCCTCATCTTCCTCTTCCTCTTCTCTCTCCTCACCCTCCGCCCCCCACCCTTTGTTAGGCTAAGTTACTGGTGAGCCATTCAGAGGCAGAGAGATGAAATTTGGGTCTCAAACTATGGAGAGAAACTGAGTCAAGATAATTTCTACATGGAAATAATAGTTGGACTTCTAATAACAATCAGTTGAAATATGTCCTGACAAACTACATGCTTCTTTTGAACGAAGGTAGAGTGAAAAGTAACTTCAGCAAATAGAATACAATAAACTAGCATCTGTGAACATCTGACATTCTGTTGAACAAAGCTTATATTTCAAAAATCATATTGATTACTATATCAAAAATTTATTTTCATCATTTATTTTAGTCTCTTTTAGATTTTTGAATTCACAAATTGGATTCTTAATGCTTTATCTAAAATAAGTATCATAAACAAGTGCATAGAAATGACAGTGTTGTGTACAATCATATCAGTACATGTTTCTGTGTGTGCCACAAAGCTGTGAGGTCTAAGGGCCTCTGTGTGCAAGGTTATGAAATCCAAGAGGCACATTGTGTAGAAGGCACTACAACAGAATTTTAGGCAGAATGACTTTGGGTCACATGACAGTGCCTTATGGTACTGCAGACGGAAAGGCCTGTCAGTTGTTAAGGGAACCATGATAATACTTGGGTCTTAGCTTCTCCAGCAAAGCCTTGCAGTACCAAACACTGGAAAACACAAGGAACAACTCTGTTTGGTTATACAATGGAAAAGAACTTGTCCACACAAAGCTACCCTGCTCCGAGCTCTTCAGTGAGATGCACATGATGTCTCTGCCTCAAGCATGCAGTAGCTGTGGGACGTTTCCTGTGGGTGTGGTCACAGGACCCTGGGCACCTTTCTGTGGACAGTGAGCAGTTACCTTTCCTCATTGGTCCTAGCGGAGTTTATTTCACCTGAAATGGTTACAAGCAAATTTGAGCCAGTTTCCACAACAGAATGAAAGACATCACCAAAAACCCCATCCCACTTCTTAGAGGTGGGGGAAGTTGTCCTTTGCCCTAGAGTCCTTGAACATAGGGACTACCCGTGTCCCTCCCGAGCTTGATGTGATCCATCGCTCCATCACGTGCCCGCTTGGAGGAGAGGGCCTTTGAGGGCCATCTGTTTACAGATGACACTGGACCTTCCTTTTCTCCCACCTATCGCGGCCTCCACGACCAGGGCTCCACGACCAGGGCTCCAGGACGTAGAATCGCTGTTCACTTACTGCCACCTAGTGGCATAGTTCTCAGAGTTCTTCCCAGCAAACAAATGAAACAAACTCGTGTTTAGGACGGGGTTAGGAATGTCCTGGGAGGCAGGTGGTGGTGGTTTCAAGTGGAAGATCTTAATCTATCTTTCTGTGGAAGCCGGCATCTCCCCTACCCACAGATGTACACACACACACACACACACATACACCCACAGATCTGATCTGTGATCATTTCTTCTCTTGGTAGCCTGGAGAGGAAAGAGTCAAGCTGATCGGCATAAACCCGAGGTTCTCAGTCACAAGCAATTTTTCTCGCCTTCCCCAGGGATACTTGGCAATGTCTGAGACGTTGTTTGTCACAAATTGGAGTAGGCATGGTTACTACTGGCATCTAGTAAATAAAGGCCAGGGGTTTATCCTACAATGCACAGGACAGCCCCCCAGGAATAAGAATTATTTGCCCGAAATGTCAAATGCCAAAGTTGAGAAGCCTGATAGAAATCAACCCGGCTTCTCATATGTTCCACTACAGTGCATGCACACACGTGAGTGTGCTCTCTCTCTCTCTCTCTCTCTCTCTCTCTCTCTGTGTCTCTTAAATACATATGTTTTTATGTCTCCCTCTCTGTCTCTTTCTCTCCCCCTGCTGTCTCCCCCCACCTCCTCTATCTCTCTCCCTTTCTCTGTCTCTCTCCCCCTCTCTGTTTCTTTCCCTCTCTGTTTCTCTCCCTCTCTTCCTCTCCCCGCCTTTCCTTCTCCTCACAAAATACATATACCCCTCCTTCCCAACATCGGCACCCTGAAAATGAAGAATGGGTGCTCTGTCAGCCAGGCACTATCTTCCTTAGGCCAACCTGGACCTCCCTATGAACAGGCCCTGGGGAAACTTCCTTATTCCCACCTCACACCACCGCAGAGTGTTCCAAGCCACCATTCTAAGATGTTCGCCCACCATCTAAGTGGAAGGCAGGCTGTGGCTAGGGTAGGATACAAAACAGGAGGCCCAGAGGGCACATGGCCCTGGCACCTTCTCAGCGAGGCCCGTGTGCTGGTCTGCTTGTCCCCACAGTGAGCTGGAAGACTTTGTCGAAGACTTGAAGAAGGACTCCACGCTAGCTGCCCGAGTGCTTACTTTAAAAGATGTGGAAGATGGGGCTTTCCTCCTGCGGCAGGTGGGCGAGGCTGTAGCCACCCTGAAAGGTAAGCTTTCTGCTGGAGTAGTCTGGGGTATATTTCTTGGGTGTCACATTATGAAGGATTCACCCAAGCATGCAAAGACTTATCAGTCATCCACATGTGCCAGGCACCGTCCTGGGCACTTGGCATACACATCAAAGTAGGCAGACATTTCTGCTTTTTTGGAGCTTATATTATAGTGGGTGCTGTAAGATTTCAGACTAAATGATACTAGTAACATTTTCTATTCACTGGGCTCTTATAGTGCACCAGGACACCTATGTCGGACTCACTAAAAACAACCCTATGGCTAGGCACGGTGGCTCACACCTATAACCCCAGTAATTTGGGAGGCCAAGGTGGGAGGATCACATGAGATCAGGAGTTGAAGACCAGCCAGATCTCGTCTCTACAAAACAAAAAATTAGCTGGGCATGGTGGCACATGCCTGTAGTCCCAGCTACTCCGGAGGCTGAGATGGGACGATTGCCTGAGCCAGAAGGTAGAGGCTGCAGTGAGCTATGACTGTACCACCACACTCCAGCCTGGGTGACAGAGTGACATCCCGCCTCTAAGAAAACAATCAGAATCATAATTTGTAAAACCCTAAGGGCCCATTGGCCTCATCCCAAATACCTACACCATGGGCCTAGAGGATCCTTGCCCATATCATGCTCTCTGTTCTTAACCCTCTGCCTCCCGAGAGCGTGTGAGCTGCCCTGTGGCTTGTGAACCGCACTTCTCAACCCTGGCCGATGCCTGGGTGCAGGGTGGGAGTCGTCCTCCTGGCTATTTCTCCCACAACTCACTCGCTGGTTTGGGCCCACAGGAGAATTTCCAACCTTGCAAAACAAGATGCGAGCCATCCTGCGCATTGAGGTGGAGGCTGTGCGGTTTCTGAAAGAGGAGCCGCACAAGCTGGACAGTCTCCTGAAGCGTGTGCGCAGCATGACAGACGTCCTGACCATGTTGCGGAGGTGACCGGCCTGTTGGGCTGGGCATGGCCGGGGGACGGGGCATGGCTGGGGCGGATGGGGCGAGGCCTGGGGTGGATGGGGCGGATGGGGCGTGGCCGGGGGATCCTGGGGGTGGAGGTTTTGGACTCCAATCTACCTCCAGAAACCTATCCCAGGGCCTGTTCCCTCCCTGTTGTGGTTTGTCAGATCCAGGGACATGGGGAGAAGCTGTGAGTCCTTCCCACCCTTAAACTTTTGGTTGAAGTTCTAATTCTTCAGCACAGTCTTGCTGGTGGGCCCATCCTAAGGTTTAAGATAGTATGCTGGTGGGCCCATCCTAAGGTTTAAGATAGTAGACACAGTCAACATTTTTAAGAAATCATTTGAAGATAGGTTTTCTTTTTTAAAATAACATTTTGAAGTTGAAGAATGGATCAAAATAGCCTCTTTCACCTCAGGGGTATAGATGACTTCAGTTAGGAGAAATTAAATAGAAATAAACCAAGACTTTCTTAAATTACCCACTGAAAGAGTATCTGAGAGACTGCTGGTCCCACCCAGAAAAGAGAAACAAACCCTGCCGAGTGGCATGGGGCCAGTCTCCCTTACTGAGATTGTGTGTTTTGAGTGAACCTGCTCGTCAAAGAGGTCACAGTGGGTGAAAGACCAAAAGAAATCATGACTCATCCATGACTTCCATTGAAAAGAAAACTCCACAGCGCCACACCCACTAAGAAAGTGCTGACATATTTGTATGCAGGATTTGTGTTTCCCAAAGCACCTTTGTACGTGGCATTCTATACTATGACGTGCTCTATCTTTGGATTACAATTAAGTCTCTTTCTCCTCAACATAAGAGCAGCAATCGTTGACACCTGTGAGTATTTTGTATGTACCAGGCACTAAGCTAAGTCCCGTGTATTTATCAGTTCATTCCATCCTACTATAAAAACACCACAGGGCAGGACGCCGCTGTTTCCATTTTATAGTTAGAACATGAGTTTTTATGGTATTCACTGCAAGTCAGAGGTGGGACTGACACATGAACGGATAGTTTGTCCCCAAAGTTTCTATTGAGTCTTGACTCACAGTCAGGTTGTCAGTCATATTTAGACATTCCTTGCCAGCCCTGGTGCTGGGTATTATGAATGCAGTAATAAACAAGACAAACGGGATCTCTGCCTATAAAACTTACTCTCTCACATGGGAAATAGACACCAAACAATGACCAAAGATAAACCACTTCCCAACTAGTGGCGGTCGCTGAGTTTTCAGTTTTTTAACAGGACTAGGAAATTGCAAGGAAGGTTCCCGTCAGATCTTGGACCAGATTTGAGAGCGTGTCACAGATAGAAGTAACCTCTAAAAAAACTTTCTCATCAGAATTCTAATCACTAACTATAATCATTGGATCCAATTCATAAGAGAAATATGTTAAGTATACAATTATTAAAGCCATAAAGAGCAAGTTAGACTTTTCTAGTAATAAACATTCTGAAGCAAGAGTCCCTTTTGAGATGCTATTTCCTCAACAGCTGTATAGTCACGTTCATAAGTTCCAGAATGCTGAAGGAATTCTGAATCGAAACAAAAGTGTCTTCCCCGCAGAGTCCATAGCTAACCGTGTACAGAAAGAAGTTATACCTGTATTAAATCTTCTCATGGATTCTATTCATTTTAAACTGTTCTTTCTTCCAGTCAGATAAAAATCTGTCAAAAGAATTATTCATTAAGCTCTTACATAAGTGTGTTAACCCATCTGCAAAGCCTAAAACACACCACCTTATAAGCAAAAACAGATAGTGGATTGGCAGGTAACACTGTCCCATTCTCCCTTCTCTTCCCTGGGAAACAATTAAAAGATACTTTTACAGCCCACACAGAATGATGAATTTCAGTTTTTGCCTTATTTTCAGTGAATGCAAGTTCTTAAAAAAAAAAAAAAAGATGAGATTGTGTGTTTTGAATATTATGTGACTCTTTGTCCCATAAATACTCAGTGGTGAGAGTGATGCATAAATCCAGTTAACTTTAAAAATAAAAATAAAAGAAGTTGTAGCTGCCATCCAGCATCCCATCACAAGCCTTTACATCATTAATTTTACAATTGTTAATGTTGGGTGACAAGTACAGGAGGGTTCCCCTTACTATTCTTTTTACCTTTAAATTGTTTAAAATTTTCATAATAAAAAGTTAAAATAAATAAATAATTTTTTCTTGGTACCCATACGATGTGCTGTACTCATCACTATAGAGGCCACAGGAAGACGCTAGGAATATGCATGTTCCCTTCCCCCTGCCCCAAGGACATGCATATGTCCTCATGCCCCGGCAGGGATGGTGAAGCATGTGACAAACAATCACAGTTCAGAACAGATCTAGGGTCTCGGGTGGTGGCACATGTTGACTGTAGGATGCTGGAAGGATATCTAAGCAGAGCTGTCCACAGGCACTTAGGATAGTGGACCAAAGTTCAAGAGACAGAGATAGAGAGGGATTCTTGCCTAACTCAGTGGAAGAGAGGGAGAGATGGAAGAAGGATTGATTTAGAATTGGAAGCCAACTTCATGGAGGTGATTATTGAAAAGGGAAGAGGTTGCCAGGCACTGTGGCGCATGTCCATAATCCCAGCTACTGAGGAAGCTGAGGTGGGAGGATCGTTTGAGCCTAGGAATTCAGGACCATCCTGGGCAATATAGCATGATCCCATCTCTTAAAACAAATTTTTTTTTTTAATTAGCCAATCATGGTGATGCTCACCTGTAGTCCACACTACTAGGGAAGCTAAGGTGGGAGGATCGCTTGAGTCCAGGAATTTGAGGCTATAGTAAACTGTGATCACACCACTGTACTATAGCCTAAGTGACAGAGCAAGACCTTGCCTCTAAGAAAAAAAAGAAAGAAAGAAAATGGAAAAGGAGCCGGGCTCGGTTCCTGTAATCCCGCGCCTTGGGAGGCTGAGGTGAGTGGATTGCCTGAGCCCACGGGTTCGAGACCTGCCTGGGCAACTTGGTGAGACCTCATCTCTACAATAAATCAAAAAAATTAGCCGGGTGTGGTAGCGCGCACCTGTAGTTCCAGCTACAGGCTGAGGCGGAAGGATCGCCGGAGCCCAGCAGGTCAATGCTGCGGTGGCCGGGAGCGGCCACTGCACTCCAGTCTGGGCGACAGAGTGAGACTACAACTCAAAAAAAAAAAAAAAAGAAAATGGAAAAGGAAAAGAGGGCTAAGGTAGAATGACAGGGAAAGGAAAGAACAAATCCTTGGGGCTCCTTAGGCGTCTCGGGGTAGGGACAGGGAGAGTAAACAACAAAACAGAAGTGAGTATCTCAAGAGTTACAGAATGTAATGCCTTTTCTCAAATAACAATAGAGTATTATAGTAAGATAGAAATGAGAGACTAATTAAAAACAACAGGTCAAGTACCATGTTTGACACTGTCTCACATACAACTTTATTTATTTTTTGGGGGGGAAGCAAGATTTATTGAGAGGACAGAAAAGCTCCTGGCACAGGAGAGGACCCAAGGGGGTTGCCCTACAGACAACTTTAAATTGCGAATCCTAGCCGGGCACAGAGGCTCACGCCTATAATCCCAGCACTTTGGAAGGCTGAGGTGAGAGGATTGCCTGAGCCCAATGGGTTCGAGACCAGCCTGGGCAACTTGGTGAGACCTCGTCTCTACAGTAAATCAGAGTTAGCCGGGCATTGTGGCGCGTGCCTGTAGTTCCAGCTGCTTGGAAGGCTGAGGCGGAAGGATCACCTGAGCCCAGCAGGTTGAGACTGCAGTGGCTGTGAGCATGCCACTACATTCCAGCCTGGGCAACAGAGTGAGGCTCCAACTCAAAAGAAGAAAAAAATTGTGAATCCTAACAGCAACTCCCGACAAAGGTGTTGTCATCATTATCATTGTCATCTTTACTGTTACATTTTACAGAAAAGTATCTGAGGTTCAAAAAGGTAAAGTTGCCAACATTGCATAGCTAGAACTTGGTAGAATTGATAGTCAAACACAGGTGTGTCTGTCACCGAAGGCCCTGGCTTTTCCACTGAACTCTGAGTGGGATGGCCAGGTAGCATCAAATGACTCTAAAATTCAGTAAGCTAGCCGGGCTCGGTGGCTCAGCCTGTAATCCTGCGCCTTTGGGAGGTTGAGGTGAGTGGATTGCCTGAGCCCGCGGGTTCGAGACCCGTCTGGGCAGGGAGACCTCATCTCTACAATAAGTCAAAAAATCAGCCGGGCGTGGTAGTACATGCCTGTAATTCCGGCTACTCGGAAGGCTGAGGCGGAAGGATCGCCGGAGCCCAGCAGGTCGAGGCTGCGGTGGCCGGGAGCGGCCACTGCACTCCAGTCTGGGCGACAGAGCGAGACTCCAACTCAAAAAATAAAATAAAATAAAATAAAATTCAGTAAGCTGGGACTAAACACAGCTGTTAGACTCGGAGTCACTAATGATCTTGCAGAAAGTCTTACCTGCATCCAGGTGGAGGAGCCAGCTAGCGGCAGGCTGAGCTACAAGAGAGCAAGCCGAGGGGGTTAGAATGTAGGCTGCCCACCCCCCGGATGCTGAGAAGTGAGCAAGGGAGAGTTGGGGGATTTAAGGAAGCTTTGGGGTTAGAACGGAGCGTACTTGAAGGCTGCACGGGCCAGGATCTGGGGGAGGAGTTAGAGAGGATGTTGTTAGACGCATATTGTTCACTTCTTGTCGCCATGCCCCAAACAGTGATGGAGTTGTGTCAGGGCACAATAGCACTAGTGGAAAGGGATGTGCTCCTTATATATCCCTCAGCTGCTGCTCCAAGTTTTGGGCTATTAGAATCTCGCCTGGTTCTGAGATGACACGGCCTTCGAGTATGCCACATTGACAAAATGGCAGTGGCATACTGTGACAATTAACGCTGCTGTGCATGGTTTCTCCCAGGCATGTCACCGATGGGCTCCTGAAAGGTACAGACGCAGCCCAAGCCGCACAGTACGTCGCCATGGAGAAGGCCACAGCTGCAGAAGTCCTGAAGAGCCAGGAGGAGGCAGCCCACGCCTCCGGCCAGCCTCCACATGGCACAGGAGTCCCCGGCGATGTGAAGTCGGAAGTGGTGCCCTTGTCCGGCATGACGGTTCACCACGTGCAGAGCTCCCCTGTGGTCATTCAGCCCTCCCAGCACTCTGTGGCCCTGCTGAACCCTGCCCAGAACTTGCCTCACACGACCAGCCCCCCAACTGCCCCCCAAGAAGTAACCTCCACCCTGCAATCGGCACAGATTCCGCAGTCCCCACAGACGCCCATGAATGGGACCGCCATGCAGAGCCTGTTCATTGAGGAAATCCACAGCGTGAGTGCCAAGAACAGGGCAGTGTCTATTGAGGTAGAGTCCTCTTTCCATTTCTCATGATCTGTAATGGAGTCTGACGTTATCTGTAATGGGCCTCTCCCTCAGAGTCTATGGGCTGGTTGTAGACATAGCACAGATATGGATTAGAGATCGATTTTCAGAACTAGAAATGGGATTCAGTGGCCAGCTTTAGGGCTAGGTCATCTGGTTTGAGAACCTATAGGAAGGTGAGGCAGTGGTGTGCTGGTAAATGTTTAACTAATGATTCTCTGAGGAAGGGGAAGCCCTGATTTGTAGCATTTGCCAATTTCCAAGGTGTCAACACCTTCACCACAACTGATGTCAAACTATAACATGACATCACTTCATCATCCCACGAAGTTGGGAAGAAATGTGACAGTCTGTTCTCCTGAGCCCGGGCACGCTGGCTCCAGAATTCCAGTCTGGTGACTGCAGGCCTGGGGAGGATTTGCCATGATCTAGGAAGATAAGTGGAGCCTGGGTATGCAGAGAAGGGTGGCGAGGACATTCAAGGATACAGCAACGCTGGACCAAAGGCTGGGGCTTAGATTCAACTTCTCTAAGTGGAATAAGAAAGAGGAGATAAGACTGGGGAAATCAGCTGGAAACTGATTTGAGAGCGCTTGAACACCTGTCCAAGAGAGCTGAAGTTTATTTTGAAGGTATCAGAGAAATGCTGTAGCTTTAATCAGTGATTTTTTTTTTTAGAATAGCATCTTCAGGAAATTAATCTGGAAACAATATACAGAAGTGACTGAGGTGGTGGTGTAGAATTAGGGAGCTGGATACGAAGTTATTATAGTTATCTAAGAAAGAAGTAGAGACAAGAATGGAAAGGGAAGGCTAGGTGTCAAGATCTAATGGCATGTAGAAAAAAACGCTCTGTTTTTAAATATCATTCTGATCTTCTGATCAAGAGCTGGTGCCAATGCTCAAATAATACATGTGGCTTCCCTAGCTCTCGTCTCTTGTCCCATAACTTCTCTTCCATTCATTACTCTGTTCCTGGCAGCCTGGTTCTAATCCTCCTGCCTCTCTTGAAAATCACCAGCGGCTCATTCAGGTCAGGCATGTTGAGATGACCTTGTAAAACTGCTATGGCCACAGTCACAGCCCCTGGACCTCCGAAGACTAGGTAGTTTCTCTCTGTTCCAAGAGCAGTGGCTGTGCCCCAAATCGGAGTCAGCAATTTGAAAAATGTATATCAGGTTGGGCTCAGTGGCTCACACCTGGAATCCCAGCACTTTGGGAGGCCATGGCAGGAGGATCACTTGAGCCCAGGAGTTTGAGACCAGTCTGGGCAACATAACGAGACCTGTCTCTATAAAAAAAAAAAAAAATCAAAAAATTAGCTGGGCGTGGTGACACATACTAGTATTCTCAGCTACTTGAGAGGCTGAGGCAGGAGGATCGCTGAGCCCAGGAGGTCAAGGCCATGGTGAGCCATGATCATGCCACTGGGCACGAGTAAGACCTTATCTCAAAAAAAAAATGCATATCACAGGAGGGAATAGAAATGTGATTGGCAGAGTGTGACTCTAGGGGGAGAAAGGGTGTTTCCTCCTGAGAATTATGAATCTGTCACTTAAGACATCTCGCTACTGTAAACATCTCAATATTTTTAAATGATGGCAGTATGATGACACTTTTATTCAACAAATCTCTATTAAGAACCTAGTGGGCATAATTATCACTGTGATGTATGTATTTTTAAGTTTTGAGAAGGGGCTTATGAGTCATCTCTGAAAATGCCAGGATCCTGGATTTCTTTGCCAGTTCTGCCACTGAGCTGAATTTCAGTCATTCCACAGAGAATACTGAACCCCACTGTGTACCAGGCCCTTGTGGGCTCTGGGGGGTAGCCAATGAACAGAAGAGACAAAGTCTCTGCCCCTGAGAATCGTACCTGCTTATAGGAAGAGACAGGAAATAAGTGTATGTCAGATGATAATAGATGCTAGGAAGAAAAAATCAAGGAGAGAAAGGATGGTAAAGTGGTGGTTATTATTTAAATAAAGTAAATCTTGGGCAAATTCTTCCTCTCACTAGACCCCAAAGTTTCCATATGTTGAGTGTGTTGATTCAGAGGTCTTTGCCAATTCTTACATTATGGGGTTCCACTAGTCCTGGCTAATTTCCACTCTGCCCTCCTGGAATGATTAATGGCTGTCACTAAAATCACAAGAAAATGTTACTTAAAAACTGCCCAGGTGCAGTGTTTCACACCTGTAATTCCAGCACTTTGGGAGGTTGAGGTGGAAAGATCGCTTGAGCATAGGAGTTCAAGACCAGCCTGGACCACTTAGTAAGACCCCTTCTCTACAAAACAGAATCAAAAAATTAGCTGGTCATCGATACTCAGGAGGCTGATGCGGAAGGATCTTGAGCCCAGGAGTTTGAGGCCGTTATGAGCCGTGATCATGCCACTGCACTGCAGCCTGGGCAATAGAGTAAGTGAGATACCAACTCAAAAATAATAATAATAAATAAATACCATGATCCACAAGTAAGGAGGCCTGGGTTTTTCTGCCATTTCTACCACTGAGAGTAGAGTTTCATTCATTCAACAGAGACTGCAGACCCCCACTGTGTGCCAGGCCCTCATGGGCTCTGGGAGAAGCCAGTGAATGAAAGAGACAAAGTCTCGGCCCTCAAGAAACATACCTGATTGCAGGGAAAGACAGGGAACAAAAGATACATAACATATACAATATAATGTTATAATATAATATACATTTATATGTGTTATGTATATCTCTATTATGGAACTTGATGAAGCTCACAGGTTGTATAAATAAACCTCCGCCCTATTTTATAAGTACAGCAATGTGGCCTAGCAGGTCATATAGCAAATTCTCTGATAGAAGCGGGACTAAGATGTGGGGTTTTTTTGTTCTTAGTAAGTGTGTGAGTTTTGTTGCTCTTTGAACATCTCTTCTACCATGAAAACTCAATTTTTAGAAATATTGGTAGTAGGACATATAGCTTTGAAAACCCTACCTGTGTCCCTTTTTATTTGGTATTGGTAGAGGTATATGGTCAGTGCTCAGTAGTAATTTAATGAATGCATTTGAGTTTCTGAGCTTGCTTCTCTGTGAATGAATATCCCCTGGGCTTAAATCGCAGCCTATGTGGCTAGAGACGATGTAACAAATGACAGGAGGTCTGGAGGCCTGGACTTGGCAAGGTTTGTCTGACGTCTGAGGACATTATTTTACCAATAATGTAACTGTGTCGTGTCTGCTCCCCATGCCAAGGCGAGCTCTGTAACCTGGCTAATTAGCTTCTCCTTTTGGTTTCTAAACTTTATTCACTTTTCTTTCAGAAAGCAGAAAGGAAATGGGAAGAAAAAAGGCAAAATTTGGACCACTATAACGGGAAAGAGTTTGAGAAGCTCTTAGAGGAAGCTCAGGCCAATATCATGAAGTCAATACCAAACCTGGAGATGCCACCAACCTCAGGCCCACTTCCAAAGGGAGATGCCCCAGTGGACAAGCTAGAACTTTCAGGTAAGCTCGAGTCCCACGGCAGATACTTCTGGAGCTGCATAGGCTGACTGACCTCAGGCCAGTGTGGTACCACCCACTTCAGCACATGCTGGCCAGGGGAATCAATGCCTCACTTCTTATGAATCTTATGAAATGTAAACGTTGGGAGAATGAATCCTCATTCATTAGCTCTTCCCTACTTTTTTTTTTTAATGAGTCAAGGTCTCCCTCTGTCATCCAGGTTGAAGTGCAGTGGCACAATCAAGGCTCACCACAGCCTCGACCTCCTGGACTCAGGCAATCCTTCCCCCTCAGCCTCCAGAGTAGCTGGGACTACAGGTGTGTGCCACCACGCCTAAGTTTTTTTATTTTTATTTTTATTTTTTATTTTTTATTTTTTGAGTTGGAGTCTCACTCTGTTGCCCAGACTGGAGTGCAGTGGCCACTCCCGGCCACCGCAGCCTCGACCTGCTGGGCTCCGGCGATCCTTCCGCCTTAGCCTTCCAAGTAGCTGGAATTACAGGCATGCGCTACCACGCCCGGCTGATTTTTTTTGATTTATTGTAGAGATGAGGTCTCGCTGCCTGGGCGGGTCTCGAACCCGCGGGCTCAGGCAATCTACTCACCTCAGCCTCCCAAAGGCGCGGGATTACAGGCTGAGCCACCGAGCCCGGCCTATTTTTATTTTTTGTAGAGGCAAAGTTTCGCTATATTGCCCAGGCTGGTCTCGAACTTCTGGCTTAAGCAATCTGCCTACCTTGGCCTTTCAAAGTGCTGGGATTACAGGCATGAGGCACCACGCCCAGCTTTACTGCTACTTTTTAGCTCTAACCATGGTAGGGAAGCTGTGTTCTATGTTAGAGTACTAGAACAACGCCCAATAAAGGAAAATTTAAATTCTAGCTTCTGCATTTCCTATGCCTTTATGATGCTTCATAGCACCAGGTGGGAGAATATGAGGCCTGCATTTAAAACAAGAGCTTTTTGTATGCTTTCAGGAAAAAAAAATGCCAGGTTTTATGAGCTCGTGGGGATATTAGATCATAAGGCGAAATTGCATTTTTAAATCAAAATTATTAGAATGTTTAACCAACTCAACTATGGAAGTTGAACATTAACATGTCTATAATACTATCACTTTTTAAAAACTCAACCAGTAAATCTCCCACCAATTACAAGCCGTGCGCCTTATTCTGATCTAAAAATTATGTACACAGATGTTATTTTACTCGCAGCCTAATGTCTCTGCAGTGTCACTTTTAATGATGCCTCATCCAGCAACTGAGATTAATTTGAAAAAGAGTCACCATGTTGACTTGCATGTCAAAAACATTAAAGTAGACTGACTCGATTTATAGCCAATGTGCAGTCATCCTTCAGTATCATGGGGGTTGTTTCCAGGACCCCCCTTGGATACCAAAATCTGTAGATACTCGAATCCCTGATATAAAATGATGTCATATCTGCATGTAACCTACACTCATCCTCCCGTCTATTCGACATACTCTCTAGATAATTTATAAGACCTAATACAACACCTTTACCTCACTTCGTTCTCGTGGTTTCAGTGTAGCACTTGGCACAAGACAAATCCAAGTTTCACTTTTTGGAACTTTGTGGAAATTTCTTTCTTTTTCCTCTGAATATTTTCCGTCTGTGGTTGATTGAATCCAAGGATGCAGAACTGTGGATATGGAGGGCCAACTGTGCTTCTTTCTTCCCAGGGTTTTATTCATTTCATTTCCCAAAGCTCCACTTGCTAAAAGTCTCCACCTCAGTCTGCACTCAGAGACTTTTCTCAGCCCCTTCCCCACCCGCCTGCCTGTCAGGCCTTTCTAGGGCAGGGAAGGGCGGCTTTTCTCTTACAAGGACAGTTTTCCTCTCAAAGTCTAACAGGAGAATTTCTGATGGAGAAAGTGACCTATCCCATTATATTCCTTGACCTGCCTCGTTACATTTCTGTCTTGCCTAATTCTGATCCTCTCCATTATTAATTTTGTCATATGGTCTTTTGATGGTCTATGTCGTTCTCATAATTGCTCCTTCTTGTTATTGAATAACAAAAATATGACATTACTTTTTGTTAACTTACCTCATTTTGGCTTTTCATTCTTTTAGATTTTTTTTAAATGGCATAAATTATCTTTTAAATTACTCCCCAGTGTATTCTTACTCAGTTAAAATGTTTTTGTTGGAATTTTTTTTTCTTTTTTAACTCATGCTCTGACTTTTTTCTCAGAAAGAGTCCACTGATGTGCAGGCCACTAGAAATGTATAAAGGCATCGTCCATTACCTGTAAACATTGGTTTCTAGCATTTTCATTTATTTTTCATAGATGTTACTGTTTTGTGTATTTTTATTTACTAATGAGGCAAAACTCTAAGCTTAGGGTTTTAAAAACTATTCATATTTCCTCTAATGTGAATTGTCTGACTACTTAAATAGTGAGGAAAGATAACAATCAAAAATTGATGGGAGCAGGACATGGCAGCTCATGCCTGTAATCTCAGCACTTAGGAAGGCCAAGACAGGAAGATACCTTGAGACCAGGAGTTCAAGACTAGCTTAGGCAACATAGTAAGACCCTATCTCTACTCCCCCAAAATTAAAAATTAGCCAGGCATGGTGATTCGCACCTGTAGTCCAAGTTACTTGGGAAACTGAGGCAGGAGGATTACTTGAGCTTAGTAGTTCAAGGCTGCAACAAGTTATGATCATGCCCCTGTACTCCAGCCTGAGCAACAGAGCAAGACCCTGTCCAAAAAATAATAATAATAAAGGGAAATTTGAGGAGATTGCCACCTCAGTGATTGTCAAAGAAAAATTACTCATTGGAACACTTCTTTAAAATAGCAAGACAGAGTTTATTCAAGAATATTACATTAGGGTCAACACTCTTGCAACAGGGGAGAGAAAGTGATCTCAGTGTCAAGAGTCAATAGATTGTTGCTAGACTGGCTGGACGGATTCTCGCTAACGGCAGGCCTTAAGCTTACATAGTGAGGATGGGGGTGCGGAACTTGATCAGACATCAAGAATGGAGAGACCCTGGCTCAATTGATTTAGCAGAATTCTTTTCTAAAACTGGGCTCGGTGACCAAGGTCAAGGCCAAGTGGAGAAAAGGTCTCAAGGGAGCCTGACTAAAGTTTGATCAAGGAAGGAGGTCTGTCACATCCCACCAGAGATAAGAACCGGGCCCACCCCCTGAACTGGTCCGCTGGTGCCAGTCCTTCTAGAGAAGCCACAAGCTGAGGTCACCCTCCCAAGGCTGGCCTGCGGCCACTCGCAAACTGCTGTAGCCTATGACCCAGCACCCGCTCTTCACCCTTAGCATCTACCCAGGTCTTTAGTACAGCTTTAAGGCAAGAATCTACTCGAATCACCTCTGTCTCAGTTTCCCCCAAAAGAAAAACACACTCTCAGGGGACCAGGCCATGTCCCCAGAGGGAGTTCCAACAAAACTTCTGGATCTTGAACCCCTGGTTCCGCTGCTTTGGCAACTTTGTGGAGGATGCTGACAGAGGGCCCCGCGTGAGGCTGCGCAGTTGAGTTTTAAGTAATGAAAGCCTCTTCTGCCTACCAGGGGAACTGAGCAGGTGTCTGCATCTTCTAACTTGGGTGTTAACCCTGACTAATGATTCTCTCATTTTTCCATGTGCTGCCTCCTTTGGTTCTCAGACAATCTTTTCCAACCACATAACCCTGACAGAAAGAAAGAAATCTACATCCTCTCTGGCTTTGTTCTTTGTCCTTATTTGCATCTCACTTGCTCTCTGGCCTTCCCATGGCCAGAATTACCTGCACAAGTTCCTCCTGCTGAGGCTGTTTTCTCAGACTGGGAGATGATGAAGGCTTTGGGGATCATGCGAGGGGCTCAGCATCTGCCTTTAGGCTCTGATTTCTTCATCTTTCCAAGACTCAGTTTGTTTGCATAACAAGAATTGTGTCTAATAATAATAACTAATACATCGCATTTACAATAAGCCAAGTGCCTTATGTAAGTCATTTAATCATCACAACATGCCAGTGGAAAGGATATTATTATTAATATTATTTTTCTTTTGAGTCAGAGTCTCACTCTGTATCCCAGGCTGGAGTGCAGTGGCATGCTCACAGTCACCGCAGCCTTGACCTGCTGGACTCAGGCAATCCCTCTGCCGCAGCCTTCCAAGTAGCTGAAACCACTGGCATGAGCCACCATGCTGGGCTAACTTTTGGATTTATTGTAGAGACAAGGTCTTACCATGTTGCTCAGGCTGGTCTTGAACCCCTGAGCTCAGGCAGTCCCCTCACCTCTGCCTCCCAAAGAGCTGGGATTATAGGCGTGAGCCACTGTGCCCAGCAGAAAGGATATTATTATCATGCCCACTTAACAGATGAGAAAACTGAGTCCCAGCTACTAGGGAGACTGAAACAGAAGGATAGCCTGAGCCCAGGAGGTCAGGGCTGTGGTGAGCCATGATTGTGCCACTGCACTCTAGCCTGAGTGACAGAGTGAGACTCTTTACTCAAAAAAAAAAAAAAAACAAAACACAGATGCGAAAACTGAGAGAGAGATTTATTCGTGCAGGGTCTTTTAGAGATTTTAATCTAGTCGGTCTTCAAAGTCTATACCCGTAATCATTGCTCTGTGGAGAAAATAAAGAATTTTTACATCACATTGCATTGAGTTTGTAGCAATACACAGGGCTTTCTGGATGTTATCTTCTAAAGAGATTATTTTTGCAATGGTGCACTGTTTTCCAGAAGACTCTCCAAATTCAGAACAGGACTTGGACAAGCTGGGGGGAAAGTCACCTCCTCCTCCTCCCCCACCCCCTCGGCGAAGCTACCTGCCAGGATCGGGGCTCACCACCACGAGGTCAGGGGATGTGGTCTACACTGGCAGAAAGGAGAACACCACTGCTAAGGTCTGATGGGTTAAGCCCTGGTGAACTGGTTTCTGGGCTCAGATGATATCCATAGACAAGGTTCTCTCTGGTGAAACGTGAAAAGCAGAAAAGTAGTGTCTCGACTATGCTAGATTCCCCAGGAAGCACCACAGATGAGGCATATCAGCCAGTATTATTGGACTAGACCCAGCACCATGAGTTTTATCCTTATTTGACTTTTAGCTGCAACAATGTGAAATGCAAATCACATGCTACTTCCCAAGCGGGGCATCATAAGATTGAAAATGGGGAGTGGGAGGGGGAGGCAAAAGAGAGATCGTCTTACAAAGATAACAGATTAGCTGACACAGTCGTGAGAGCCACAGAAAGATATTCAGTAAGCTTGAGATTTCACTTAACTCGGCAAGTTTTGTCTTTTATGTTAAATGTAAAACACGACTTCCAAGGAGATTGACTATAGAAGGGGCTTTGTTAAAGGCACTGAATATTGAGTAGTTGCAATTAAAATTCTTCAATCTATTCACCAAAATGACAACTCGTGCAAACAAAAGCCCAAACTAAATGCAAGGGGATAAAATAGTCTTTCAGCTACTTTCTCAGCTAAGAGCTAGGAAGCCAGTGTCCTGGGCAGTGAGGCACCTTGAGAACTGTCCTTTTTTTGCTAGGGCGATGTTCAGCCAGTATCTGTGTTTGAATCTCCTGTAGGCAAGCAATGAAGACGCTGGACCGAGCCCACAGACCAGAGCCACAAAATGTCCAGCAGAGGAGCCTGCTTCCGGATGGACTCCACCCCCACCCCCCATCACTACCTCCTCCTCAAAGGACGAGGAGGAAGAAGAAGAAGGAGACAAAATAATGGCAGAACTCCAGGTAAGTGGATGAGGTGACTGACACTGGCTCCCTGCTTCCCTATTTGGGACTCTCCAGCTATGGCACTCACAGATGTGTTAGCTAGAGAGGGCCGGGGAAGTAACTCATGGACAGGGCCGTGGAAGTGGTGTCTTCTGGCCTTGGTCTCTGTGTTCCCAAGGTGGCTCTGAACAAGGCTCTCGGGACACCTGTAAGACATGTGCAAGGAATGGCCACTTCACAGAACCACTCAGGAAAGTTTCTGCAATTGCTGGTAGAATTTCCTTTCCTTTCTTTCAGTCTGAATAATCTCTGCTTCATTTCAAAAGCAGTTCAGATGGGAACTAGAAATATCAGCCACTGTCGTGTCTTAGTAAGGACTGGTTGCACTGCACTTTAGGTGGGCTCCCATTCTTTGGCTTTAACACTTAAGATGACGGACCTTGAATCATGGACTCAAGGCCAATGACTGATCTTCTACTGTTCATACCAGGTTCCTGTTCAGTGTCAATGCCATCTTTTCAGATATTCATTTTGTTTTCCATTTTCCTTGACCTATTTGAAAAAAGATACTTTATTAATTTTAGATGCTTATTTTTTAGCTAGTTGACACAGTCCTCTCATAGAATGAAACATGGGGTACATGGGTGACACCTAGAAGCGAGCCTACATTCAGATCACAGAAGTCAGTTTGCCCTAGGTGTATATTCTGAGAACTTGTCTAATCAGAGACATGTACACAATACCTAAACCAGACTCTGTATTTTGTTTGACTCGTGCTTATTATAGGATTTTTCCATCAATCAGATAGTCAAACCACGAGCTCCTTGAGTGTGCAAAATGTGTTGCCTTTCCACCAATGTACTAATGATTTTGTGCAGGTCCATGAATTTTCATACTTCATTTAGAGTAGGGAGAACTTTCAAAGCACATCATTTTCACTGCACTCGTTCTACTGTGGTTTCCATGGTAATAGCTGCCACAATTGAGCTGCTTGGATTTTACAGGGAAAACAGGGCTGCTGGTTGATTTGTTGCGTGTCTGAGCCCTTTCAAGCCTTGCTACAACTTAGACAGGCCTAGAACATCCTCTTGACCTGACCCATTTTACTGTTTACAGGTTTTTAGAATGGTTGAAGAACCTTATTCACAGGATTTTAGAAGTCTACTTTTAAGCTTGCGAATAATTCAGTACTCCTCATTCAGGGAAGTAGTATATTTGTTGCAGTCACTTACAGGCTGGCACTTAAGGATATTTCCTGTCTTTGAATTCCAAATCTTTGATGCCCTCTTTGACCACTTTACAAAGGGTGGATTATCTGGCTTCTTGCAATATTATTGGTGGCTACATAATAATAATGGTAAATGAAGTGCTCTATCCCTAACTTAACCAAACCTTGTTAGCCTTCCTGCTGGGATAAGGACCCATCCTGCTGAATCGGAAGGTTGGTCAATGACCAGTGGCCCTGAGGGATTTTTTTGTCTCTGTGCCTTCTGGAATTAGACCAAGGTAGGTTAAGGAACAGCGGTGGCCCCCTCTAAGAGCAGTTGTGAGGCGGGCTCAGTGACTCAGCCTGTAATCCCGTGCCTTTGGGAGGCTGAGGTGAGTGGATTGCCTGAGCCCATGGGTTCGAGACCTGCCTGGGCAGGTGAGACCTCATCTCTACAATAAATTAAAAAAAAAAATTAGCCGGGCATGGTAGCGCGTGCCTGTAGTTCCAGCTACTGGAAGGCTGAGGCAGAAGGATCGGCGGAGCCCAGCAAGTCAAGGCTGCGGTGGCTGGGAGTGGCCACTGCACTCCAGTCTGGGCGACAGAGTGAGACTCCAACTCAAAAAAAAAAAAAAAAAAAAAAGAGCAGTTGTGGAACAACTTTCCATGCTCCATGTCACCATGCTCCAAAAGAAAACACAGGCTCTGAAATCCAGAGCCTAATATCTCAAAGGAGATAGCACGTGGCCTTAGTAAGCAGAGCTTTAAGTAGATAAGCCAAACATGCTCAGGATAAACTGAGACTGGTGTATTTAAGGAACTGCTAGGAAGCCAGTTGCTGCGGGGACAAGGGAGCAGGCAGAGACATGGAAGAAAAGGCCAGGGAAGGTCACCTGCCTTCAGCTGCCTTTGGATTATTGGACCAGTGCTGAAATATTCACTTAGGCAGAGGCATTATTCCTCCTGCCTGCAGAGTTATTTCCAAATGACAACATCTGGAATTTAAAAAAATACTAGGCAATTATTTAAGATGATTCATTTAAATAAGTGGTTTTTAATCCTGTCTGCACACTTGAATTACTTGAGGAGCTAAAAAAAAAAAAACTCTATAGCCTAGAAATTTTGACATATTTTTGAGTGGGGTCTGGGCAACAGTATATCTTGCATACAGCATAACTGGGTAATATGTAGCCCAGTTGAAAACCACTGATGCTCATCAACTTGGGTCCCTGAGTTCTCCATATTTTCTGCCTTTGTGATCATATTATCTGGACACTCTCCAGATGCCCACTCCCCTTGGACCCCTGTAGCTATAGTCTCTGCTTTCTCTATTTGTTTGAGAACTGGCCTCTCTGCCTCAGGGTTCACATGTACCAGCCATTGGCTCTTATAATTAGTTTTCAGAGACAGATCTCCAGAACTCAGGCAGCTCCCAGGCTACTCAGACTCACAGGCTAAACATCATCACTTTATCCTAAATGAGCCTCAGAGCACAGAAGTGCCTGTTCCCTTTTCAGAAAATGAATTGGTAAGGATTATTTTTATTTTAAGTTTTAAAGTTTTAAAATACCTCATGAGGCCGAGCTCGGTGGCTCAGCCTATAATCCCGCGCCTTTGGGAGGCTGAGGTGGGTGGATTACCTGAGCCCGCGGGTTCGAGAC